GTTGCAGCCATCATTGTTGTTGTTTGGCGGGCCCAGGCTGGATTCGAACCCGCCACCTTGGGTGTACATGGCTGATGCCTTAGCCACTTGAGCCACAGGCGCCACCTAGATGGATAATTCTTACATTTCAGGAAATTACTGTGGATGCTTGTTAAAAGTGCAGATTCTGATTCAGAGTATTCAGGTGGGGCCCAGGAATATTCCTTTTTATCATATACCTCCTGCTAATTCTAATGCCAGTAGTTATCAGATTGGACTGAAGAACAGATTATCACCTATATTTTACAGCTGAAAAAACTTTGAGGCATATGATCAATAACTTGGCCATAATTACATGCCCAGTAAGTAGCAAGCCCAAGAAGAGAACCTAGATCTTTGAGATGCCAAACACCATCTCCTGATGTCATATTATACCTCAGTGCTCTTCCTGGTGAGCTATAGGTTTATTTTTCTGGAGAGTGAAAAAAAAAATTCAAACCTGACTTTAGATATCTGGATCACCTTAGTTTAGTTGTACTGTGGATATACGTGTGCATTGTTGAGTTTCAATTCAGAGTCACTGCTTATTGGTGGAAGAAAATGAATTTGCTTATTCTGATGTTAAGTGAGCAGACCCTTCAGTAATGTTCTGTAATTTAGCTTTAAATATAGAGGGTTTTTTTTATGTGTGTGTGTTTTAAATAACATAAAATTCTATACAACTGTGCCTTTGTCTAGAATCAAGAAGTAGTGGACTTTGAAAAGTTGGATGTCTACGCCTCTGCCTTTCAAGGTCACGATGTTGGATTCTGTTGCCTGGGAACCACCAGGAAAAAAGCCGGAGCGGTAAGGAAGCAATATGCCCCTTTTCCCTTTTTGCAGGCCAGTGATGTGAAGGAATCCTTTCTTGCTCACTCTTTTTCTTTGTGCCTTTTATTGCAATCTTTAAATGTAAATAAGCTCTTGTTTTTTGAGATTCCATATGCCGCCATAAGCTTTGCAATATTTTAAATAGCACTGGTAAGTTTGTCTTCCAGAGGAATCCCTGAGTTCAGGCCTAAGTGCTGGAGACATCGTAAATATGTATGTGATCTTGCCTATTGCAAAGACTGTGATCACTGACTTGCCCTAGGGCCAATTATGATGTCTGAGTAAAAAAAAAATTGACTCATGCTCTTAGCAGTAAGCTTCCCCCCACCTAATGTTTGAAGCTGACACTTTCTCTCTCACTTGAATGATGTACCTCAACTTATTTTCACATTAAGCTTTAAACTTTGGGGATAGAACATCGGAACACAGAGGCACGATTCAGTCGGCCTCCAGCAATGACTCAGCCTTCAACGATGATTCACCCCCAGTAATGATTCAGCCTTCACTGACGCAAATCTGCTTCTAACACACATTTTATTTTCTTTATAATGGTGTCTTAAATTGAGTCAGCTGCTGTCCAGAAGTCATAGCTTACTACATAGTTAGAAATCATAGTTCACCGCGTAGATTCTGGGCAAATGTTAATATAGGTACATCTTAATTTATACCTTGGCTATAGTTTGTCCCTCTGGCAGAATTTGCTTTCTGGAGCTGAATAAATCTATTAAATATATGGAAATATGATTCTGCCATGGGGACTTACCTTAGGTTTATAAAGCAGACCTATCCATCTGAATCATTGGGGAGCATATGGTTAGGAAGTATTGGTTTATACCAACCAATAGTTGGTATAATCAACTAGTAATTAGGCTCAGGTGAATTTCTCTAGACCTTCTGGTTATCCAGAGAATAAGTTTATTTACACTTTCAATTGTGATGTATTTCCACATCTTCTGCAGTTCTGCATATTCACCCTGGAAGACAGCTTGGTTTTGAGCTCTAGGCTAGGAACTGTAGGTTATAGGAAATCTTGACTTTCCCAGGAATTGGCACATTGTCTCCTCTGGAAAGGGTCATATTCCTGCTCAGCAGCTGGGACAGTCATTTCTGTCCCAGGGACAGTTGTAGGCAGTGTGTCCTCCAAAAACATTGAAAAACTTTTTATTCAAGGACACTGCTGTTTTTGCCATCTTAAGCATCAACCTGGTTTCAGTGGTGACTCAGCAAAACAAAACACTGCATTAGGCATAGAGCAGCTGATTTTCATGACATAGGCAAATCTCATTAATAGAGTGCACCAGGAAAAAGTCTTGAGTTGCTTTGTTGCATTCTAATTGTGTAATGCAGTTTTAACCAGAGGAATCGAAAATCTTCACTTTCCAGGATCTCTGTCTACTCATTACCTTTTGTTCTCCTTTAAAATCAGTTTGAAAAAGATAAACGAAATTTACTAGTAAACAAGGAATGACTCCTAAGCCAAACAGTCTCAGAAATGAATTAGAACTTAAATGTTTTAAGAGGATAGTGGCAGAAAGTAAGCTGATACATCCACCAGAAAAGGTTTATTTGAGTTCTTTTTTTTTATTTTTTGAAACTAATTTGCATTAGATGCAGTAAAGTTTGGAGGTTGTTATAACTTTGACAGTTTAAAAGAGGCTATAGTTCATACATGGCCAGGAAACAAAAGTTGTTGGAAAGGGGTGGTGGTGGAGATGGACGTCCAGGCTGTTCCCAGCTGGTGTTCTGGGTCAGCAGCCCTCTCTGTGGAAGAGCGTACTGGATAGTTTATCAGAGGGAGACTGCAAAGCTGGTGGCAAACCTAGTGTCATTCAGTAGCTGTTTTATAGCTGGATCACCCTATCTTTTGCCTTAGCAATCTGAGTTTGCCAGTAGAGAAACATCAAGAAATTCTGCCTCTCTGTTGAGTAACCAGCTGATCTCCCTTTGAGCTGTAGCATATTAGTTTACTAGCAATACTGTCACCTGGGTGGCTTAAACAAAACAGAAATTTATTGTCTCAGTAATAAACTAGTTCTGGAGGCTAGAAGTTTGAGATCAAGGTGCCAGCGAGGTTGGATCCTCAGTTCTGTGGAGGACGGCTCAGTCTCAGGGCTGTCTCTGTGATGCTTTGCCTTCTCTCTGTGTCTCTTCACATCGTGTTTCCCTGGAGTGCCTGTCTCCATGTCTGTATTTCATCTTTTTATAAGGACACTAGTCCTGTTGGATTAAGGGCCATTCTGTCTCTAGGACCTCATCTTAACTAATTGCACCTGCAGTAATCCTATTTCTCCATAAGGTCAGTTCTGAGAGTCTGGGGTTAGGACTTCAGCATATGCACAGGAAGGATACAATTGAACTCATTAAATTCAGTCTACCTAGATTTCAGTTGAAACTGATCTGTTACCTTTCTTCAGCTGTTTGGAAGACCATTTCCTTTAGTAGTTGCTGGTTAGAGGCTAATCTTCCTTCTCACATTTGTGGGCCATAGTTGTCTAATCAATGCATGCCCCCCACTCCCCGACTTGGCCCTAATCCAGATTTACTGGATCAGACTCTGAGGTTGGAAGCCTGGATTCTGTATTTTTAGTAGGCTCCTTGGGAGATCCTAACTCAGCCAACCCTGTCATTCCCATTGGGCCTGCTTTTGGGAGACTCTGGGGTTAATTTTTATACTAGTGAAGTTGAAAGTTGAAGTACCCTTTGAAAACCACATCTACATTGGCCTGGAAAGAGCAGAACTCAAAAATGCCACTGGGAATAGTGCGTTTCCCCTTATTTGTATTAAAAGAAGAATTTGGTTAGTGAGTTTGAGATGGGTTGAGGTGGTTTCCCCTCTTCATTTGTCTCCTCACCTATTCAGCTCCAGCAGTCTAGGTTCTTAGATTCTATTGAATGGCTGATGTTGTTAAGTGTTTTTATCTTATGGATTCTGATCCTGATGATATTCTAATGATATTCTCTTCTAATCCAGGGGTTTGCGTACTACAGCCTGTGGGCCAGCCTGCTACCTATTTTTATATAGCCTGCAAGCTAAGACTATTTAAGTGTTTTTAAATGGTTAAAAAAATTTAAAAGAATAATATGTCATGCAATAGGAAAATATAAGAAATTCACATTTTCACATCCATCAATAAAGTTTTATTAGAATGCAGTCATGCTTATTACTTTATGTATTATCTATGGCTGCTTTTGTGGTATTTTTGCAACAGAGGCCAGCAACCTGAAAATTATTTTGGCTGGGTGCAGTGGCTGGTGGCTATAACCCTCATTCTCTGGGAGGCTCTGAGGTGGGATGATTGCTTGAATTTAGGAATTTGAGACCAGCCTGAGCAAGAGCAAGACCTCATCTCTACCAAAAATAGAAAAATTAGCTGGACATTGTAGTGGGCACTTGTCCCAGTTACTTGGGAAGCTGAGGCAAGAGGACCGATCACTTGAACTCAGGAGTTTGAGGTTGCTGCGAGCTAGGCTGAGGTCATAGCACTCTGTCTTAGGGAACAGAGTGGGACTCTCAAAATATATATATAAAATTCTTTACAAGAAAAGTTTACCACCCCTATTCTAATTTATTGAGTTTGTTTTTGTTTTTTTGAGACAGAGTCTCACTATGTCACCCTTGGTAGAGTGGTGTGGCATCATAGCTCACAGCAACCTCAAACTCTTGGGCTCAAGTGATTCTCTTGCCTCAGCCTCCCAAGTAGCTGGGACTATAGGCACCCACCACAGTGCCCGGCTATTTTTTGTTGGAGTTATCATTGTTGGTTAGCTGGCCCGGGCCAGGTTTGAACCTGCCACCTTCGTTATATGTGGCTGGTGCCATAACCACTGTGCTACAGGCACCAAGCCTCTAATTTATTGTTTTATTTGATGTCTACAAGAAGACTTGTGAAGTGGAGAGATCCTATGGTTCAAGAGACCCAGATCACAGGCCCTGTTTGGCTGCCAGGTAACTGGAGCTGTGGGTATGCCAGTTAGCTTGGAAGTGAGACTGAACTTCCTTCCAATTGCAAAAGTCTTTGACTTTATGAAACATAGAGGAAAGAATGCCTCAAATGGAAAAATTTTTTGAGAACATAGAGATTGACCCAGGAATCCTCAGTTTCTATTTAATCTAGTTTAATTTAATGTAATTTTTTCTGTTTCTTGAGAGAGAGTCTCACTCTGCCCTTGGGTGAGCTCACAGCAACCTCAAACTCTTAGTCTCAAGTTACCCCCTTGCCTCAGCCTCTGGAGTAGTTAGGACTATAGGTGCCCTCCACAACACTCAGCTAGTTTTTCAATTCTTTTTTTTGGTAGAGATGGGATCTTGCTCTTGTTCAGGCTGGTTTTGAATTCCTGAACTGAGGCGATCCACCCACCTCTATCCAGAGCTGTTTAACCAAAGTCTTTCTCCAACCACTGTATAAGGTTCGACAATTAAGTTCATCCCAGAAAAAGTGCTATATATCTCGTTGCTGAATATCACTACAGTCACCTTTGAAGTACTCTTTTTTTTTTTTTTTTTTTGTAGAGACAGAGTCTAACTTTGTGGCCCTCAGTAGAGTGCTGTGGCATCACACAGCTCACAGCAACCTCCAACTCCTGGGCTTAGGTGATTCTCTTGCCTCAGCCACCACAGCGCCTGGCTACTGAAGTTCTCTCCTTGGCAAGCTATGCACTGATACCAGCATCTGGTATACCTTTCACAGCAGTTTATAATGTTTTTTCTGGAATGACCATCAGAGCTGTCATTGTATGGCACATAATAACACCCAGCAACAATAATGAATGCTACTCAGCAAGACATCCAAGCACAGCTGTGAGATGCTGATGTACCAAGGTTCTGAAACCTCACCAAGTTATTCAGATAGCACTGCCAATGGAAGCACATGGTGGCAAGTTTGTGAACTTAATTGTCAGATCTAGTAGGATGACAGTTCTGATAGTCATTCCAGAAAAAAGAGTTCCGATTGTTTTGAAGGATGGACTGGGTGCTGGCATTAGTGTATTGCTTCCCCAGGGGAATACGTCAGATGCTCAGTAATGGGGTAGGCAGCACTTCTTCTAGGACGGGTTTGTAAACTTAATTGTCAGCCCTCATACATCAAAAGTACAGATGGCCTCCAAGATACAAACAAAGGAGGCCTCAGATTACACCACCAGTTGTTAGTCAGCATCTGTTTTCTGGGTCAATTTGTAGGGTCCAGTGGAAAAGAGTTGAAGGAGAAAGAACTTGAAGCAGAATTAGGGCTAAGTGGGACCGTTTATGAATGATGGAGCCTCTTTTCTTGGATCCTGTGACCTTCTTGAGTTAATCCTGTTTGTTCACTTGTCTTATCGGTCAGCACTGAAATATTGTACCTTGTTAGGATGAGTTGTCCTTAAGCCACAGTGTCATTTCTAGTATTCAGGCATTGGTAAAAAAGATTAGAAGAAATACTTAGTAGCTCTGGATTTTAAAATTTAAAAAATAATTGGGAATTTGTTTCCCTTGGTGTTAGTGGAGCCTTTAAGAATATCTCTTCTCTCTACTGAGTCATAGGATGCTGTATTATTCTTTCAAGGGGGTGAGAAAGGAAATTTGTAATGGGAACATAATGCTCTTTTGTAGAAGAAACACTTTATTCCTAGCTTAGAGTAAGGCACACTGGCTATGGAATCATAAAGACACAAAAACAATGGACTTAATATTCTCAGAAGTCTGTCTTTTCTCTTGGCATAGGATTAGGGAAATGTAAGAACAATTTTTCCAAAAATTGTGTTTCTGGGATCTGGAGTAGCTCTTTTAGTTAGTTTTTCTATTTTTTTTTTTTTTTTTAATTTGAGCTGTTGGAGAACAAGAAAAGGTATGAATAAGATTTCAAAGATGGCAGCTTCCATCTGCAAATGGACTCTTCCTCTCTCCAAAGAAAATTGGTGTGTGTTGATACCTTCTAGTGAGTCACCAGGACCCATGCTTACGTTTGATTTCTAAGTCCTTGAAAGCTATTGACCCTTTTGCTTTGAGTTTCATTCACCAGCTAAAAGGCCACGCCATCAGGGTGAAGGAAGTGAAATTCAGAATTTAGTGGGCTTGGAAAAATGCGGATTTATAATCAGCTTGAGGGCTCAGAGGATTTGTGAAATTGTTTTGGATTAACAGCCATTGATTGCTAATAAAACAATATTTAGCTTTGTCCAGAGAACAGCAATGGAGAAAGGTATGGGCACCTTGTCAACAGGGCCCATTGAGCAGGGATGATGGGCTGAGTGAGGGGGTCTCTGCAACAGCAAGGGTGCTCGTCCTTCAAGGGGCTGTTGTCAGTTGTTAGCCAGGCGAGTGAAAGGAAGGACGCTAGCGTCTGATGGCTGGGATGGTATTGATGTGCCTTCACTGACTAATCAGATTGAGAAAGTCCCATGGTATTTATGTCACTTTAATTTTCATCAAACAATTGGAGACGACAGCACTCTATTAAGGAGAGGTTGATCCAGAACTAAAGCCAAATAAATTAGGGTCTCAGTTTAATCAAATTATCCATTTACTGGCTCTGGATTAAGTGAGAGGGACAGCGTCGGTCTAGGGACTTGTGATTGGCTGAATCTTTCCCTTATTTTTAAAGAAGCTGATGAAAGAAAAAGCATTTTAACAGAGACAACTATAATAATCCTTCCAACCAATTGTAGACAACAACAGAGCTGAGTTTATTTCACTAGTCATTGGTGTTATTTAATTGTGAATAATGAAACTTATTAAAATCAGAGTTCTGGTGAACTGGAGTGAGGGGAAGAAATAGATATGGAAGAGAAATTCAGTATTTTAGGAATTTCCCATGTAGTTCTGGGTTGTTTTCTTGGCATACTTTCAGCACATCTAAAAATCTCAATTTGGAGAATGGCTCTGAGAAGAATCACTTCTCTGAGTGTTTTAATAAGTATTAAAAGTGGTTCACTTCACACTAATTTTAAAAAGCAACAACATGCATTTGAATCAGTGTGTAGGACAGGTTGGCAGGTCTGTCGTTTAAGATCGCAAGTCAAAGTATCCTCACACACAGAGAGGGTGATGACGCATGGATAAAGAGGTTTATACTACTTATAAATTAAGATAGAAAAAATAAGGCAGAAAACAGTATGGTATAAAGTGAGGCAGAAAACTAACACCGCCCTGCAGGTAGTGGATTTAGTTAAGAATGGACTTGTGGGCTCGGCGCCTGTGGCTCAAGCAGCTAAGGCGCCAGCCACATACACCTAAGGTGGCGGGTTTGAATCCAGCCTGGACCCACCAAACAACAATAATGGCTGCAACCAAAAAAAAAAATAGCTGGGCGTTGTGGCGGGCGCCTGTGGTCCCAGCTACTTGGGAG